CAGAAGGTGGCGCTATAAATAAAGGATGGGGACCACTATGGTGCTCTTTGGTTGCGTTCGGCCTGACAGAGCATAGACATGACTTTTTGCGTACTCTTGTGTGCCAGCGAGTGAACCTTTTGGGCAGTGCAGATTTTTACTGCGCATGTGTTTTACCCCAATCATATGACGCGTGACGTCTCCTTTGTAAAGGTAGTACTCAAACCGTGGGTGGAGATACTCAGATGGAGGCGGTATGTTCGAATGAGCCTGCATGTGACACAAGAAGTTATCGCATGTTTTCTGCAGCCCATAAAAAAACAGACTGGGGTGTCTTATTTCAGTTTGTGAGTTGGTTGACACTCAAGATACCCAGTTCTATGTGCACAAGCACTGAAAAAGTGACTTTTTCACGGTATGTCCCCTTCAATAAGTCTACTGGTTTAGGTAAAATAACATCGGCTCAATCTATTGTTCCAAAAATAAGGCCTTGGGAATGAGACGGCAATGACCTAAGTAGCGAATGGGCAACAGTGTGGGATGGACAGCTGGTCGCAGCTGAATTATAACTGGCACTACATGTGTGACACCACCCACAGACTCATCGTCTGCTCTCCTTCATTTCATGGCCTGGAACTGTCCAGCCTGCATGATAGTTCACCAGATACGTTTTATATTATAACATAAATTGTATTTGGTCAACTATCATGTAAAACACAACTATGTCATCAAGTGTTCAGTGGTAAACTTTATTTACTGATACGACTATTACAACAGTGACTATCTCTAATAGTAATATGTTTTGCGTCATTGTGAAACAAGTAAATCTACTTTCTGCTCAGTAAATACATTTGAATAACTTGGTTATCTCAGGAGCTAATTCAGCACAGACGATGATAGATGATGACAACGTCCCTTCATTCAATCCTAATTAGTGTTAATAAGATTTCACATAACTGAGTGACCTGATGAGCGCACGCAGTATATACAGAAAGTTCTAATACAGACAAATTATTCCTCTTTGGCATCGAGTCTATATCAGCTGAGACGAGTTGAAATGAAAACGGTGTCAAGCTGTTCAGCCACAGAAGGTGTGAAAATCCCAAATAAAATGGATCAATAATGTTGTTTTTTGTTGTTGTTTGCCTTTTAAAATGGCATATGTAGCTGCCCCATGTGGATTTATCTCCCTGGATTTATGAGAATGCCTTGTTGTTTTTGTTCTGCTGCTCTTCTTCATCATGACAGATGAAAAAGCAAAACAAAACAAAAATTGCTGTGACACAACAATCCTACTTTAATGATTAAAAAATATATATATTCTGTAATTAACGCTGTTAGGTGAGCTGTGTGCTTTTGCATATTAACACTAAACATTTACAGTAACTGAAAAAAATGATGTGTTATTTGTCACGTCTGCTCCCTCGTGCAGAGAAGAAGACACCAGTGTGTACATGACAAGAAGAGGCACACTAGGACATTTGGAAAATGGGACACTGCAGGATGAGATCACTGAGTACATACTGGTTTTCTTTTAGGAATATCAGGGGCCTGAAGCATTCCTGTAAAAGCCTCACCAAACACCGACGTTTCTCAACTGATTGTTGAAAAGGGGGCACCGATTTCATTATCTACATGTCAAATGTAAATCAAAGTCTGACAGGATGCTCCACTTACCTCACAGAAGACTGATGCGCTAAATAACTTCACTTTCACTTCATTAGGTCGCAGTAGAAATCCGTAACTATACGTCCCAAAGCGTCCAGCTGCAGCCCATTTATACCCGACTCATCTCCGCCTCTTGACCACCTGTCTGACCGACGCTACCCTCCATCCCACCTTGGGTCTTGATGCTGACGGCGCTGCCTCTGCACGCCCAGTGGGCGGTTTCCTAGCAGCTTTTTAGTTGTGTTTTATAATGTAGAATATTAGCATTTGTCAGATACATTAGGTCCCTGTTTTGGGGATTATATAACTTGGTTATATCTCAGTTTAATTTACGTAATTTTCCACAAATATGTCCAGTTTGCCTAAAGAACAAGATATTAAAGCACTTTGTCAAACTAATAGAGGATTTAATGCTCTGACCTTAGTGTTATAATTTGAGGCAGAGGATTAGGAGATGGTTTAATTACAACGTGTGCACACCGCAGGAAAGTGCACCATTAATACTCTTTGTGGCATTTGCCACACTGAAAATAGATTAAATAGTGGAGTAACCCCGTCTATTTAACAGCATAAACAATCAGCAGGAAAGGTTTTCCCAAATCCTCTTAACTCATGGTGCCATCAAATGTAACAGGTCATAACAACGCACCTTTGTATTTAATGAGGGGCACCATCCCCGAGCAGATATAAGCTATGCAGAAACAATGATGACTATATGCAGATAAAATGATAATGAAAGTGTCGATCGGACATAGTTCCTCAAATATATATTTGAATACGCCTATAGCTAGAGGTCATGGCTGGAAACATGTTTAAACTGTAAATCTTTCATATATTATTTGACATAGGTTAATTTCATACATTATGAATATTTTTTTTACGGTAGGATACATTTTATTTTCTCGATTTACATGAAAAAGGGCAGATAACTGTTTTAATAAAACAATTATTTGTGGACATAAAATATTCAAATATAACCTCCTTTTACACACACACAGCCTTTTCCTGGTCTTGACCTCGATATCGTACACTGTCTGAACCTAAAAGCAACACTCTTTGTATCTGTCCTTTTTTGCTATTTTTCTTAACCCCTTTATTTTTTGTTTATTTATTGTGCTGTGGATATTGTTTTTACGACACTTCCAGGTGTACCTGAAGGCAACAGTCCGCGCCCGTGCCCTCTGCTGCACATGGCGGGTACTACCACCGTCCCCGTTGTCAAGGAGCTGCGTCTGCGGTTGCTATCATGGAGGGGCGACTGTACACAGACAGACTCAGGTGAAGCAGCTAGAAAAGTCACAACTTCGCGGTGTTATGTCTGACTTCTTTTAAACGTTTGAACGGATCGGAGCTTTGGCGTGAGCTCAAAGGAAGGACCCGCCGAGCCACGCTCGGGTTAGCAGCTCTGCAGGAAGCTGGACCTGCATGTCTGTCCGGTGTCAACCAGGATCTGCAGCCTCGGAGGATGCAAGATGTTCAGGGCACCTTCTACTACCACTCGTATCCTCCTCACGTCACGTTGTTTACCCCGTAGAGCTGTTTTAGAAACGTGTATTGTAGTTACACCTGTGTTAATGTAGAGAAACTAAGTGAAAGTATCAATATCACAGTGTAGAAATACTATGTTACAAGTGACGGTAAAAGTAATACTTTTACAAATGTATTAAAGCTAGCATCGATAACTAGCCTACTCAAAGTACCAAGAGTAAATGCTTAGTATGCAGAATGGTCTTTTTCATCATGACGTATATAATATTAGGCTATTAGATTATAACTGTTGATGCATTAATGTGTACGTTACAGTAATGTTCCAGTAAAGGTGGGGCTTATTTACTGCCTGGGAGCTTGTGAATTTCACTATGGGATGGGATGTCTTTATCTATAATAATACATCATCATTTATTTGTTGATTATATTTTTTGGTATTAGTTATCTGAATCTGGAAAGTGGCTTGTAAATCAAATCAATGCAGTAGATTACAAAGTAGGCAACAATATTTCCCTTTGAAATGTAGTGGAGTAGAAGTATAGCATAAGATGGAAATACTAAGACATGTAAGTGTGCTGTGGACCAGCCTGTATGCTTCATGAGAACACAAAGTGAATCAGTGTTCATGCTCTCAGGTCATAGGTTAACGTTACATGGAGGTGACACACATCTACTCTCTGCTGTTTAATAAACGCTCTCCTTAGCTGCTCACTTCCAGAAATTCCCGGCAGGGAGCCGATGGAGGCCTCCAAGATGAGAGACGACTTTTGGTTGAAGAGCAAAAGTTGTGCAGATCCCGAGCCCGCAGGTTCTCCCTGGAAACCACCCGTCGCAGGAGGTCAGTTCAAGTGTTAATCATGCATTGTTGTTTTTATTGTTTGAGTCATCTCAGTCTGCAGCCTGAACCTGCCCAGAGCGCCAGCTCTTTGTAAATCAGAAGTCTTCCATCACTTGCTGGAAGCAGATACTGCTCTGCTGGTGTTCTGCACCTCCTGAACAGCAGCGTATGGTTCTGTCCTGGGCTTAGCTCCTTTCAGGGACGGGTGGTGTTGACAGGATTTTGCAGTCTAGACCTGGAAATAGATCTGTTGGCCCAGAGGGTGACTGTGACTGATGCGTCACCTCTCTGACAACTAAAGCTGCTCAAGTCCCTTACAGGTATAAATAACGTCTACATTTGGGTGTATCAGCAGGAGCTACAAGTGACTGTTGCTGTTTTTAAGCTAAGAGCTATAGAAAGAGTAGGTTTATGCAAGGATAGACGTGGGTGGAGGTCAGATTTATCATGTAATATCTGAGACAGATTTTGGTTTTACAGAGGCAGGTGATCATTATTCCTTAAATATAATGTGCATAAATCATTTAAGAACATAAAACATGTCTGTAAAAGAAACCTTTTTGTTATATATTCGTTCTCACCTTAGAGAACAATGTCCAACAGAAATCTGTCATCATGCACTGATCAAACCTTCAGAGTTTATTAATCGATATGAAATGCAATATAACATTCAGCACACTGATGCGGGAAACCAAAATACTGCCCGAGTACATTAATGCTTTTGTACAATTGTATGTATTTTTCAGTAGTATCACATAAGCAGAAACAAAAACCTTAACTTTAAATTGAAGATGAATTCTTGCACCACACCGACGAAACTGTTTCTATTGTGAAGTAAAGGCGATATGTCACTGCTTCCTTTCATGCCAATGTAAAGAAGGAGTACTTTGGTATATTACTCATATTTAAATTATAAGGAATAAAGTAACACCTCTTCAATGTGCATGATTGTGTTTACCTTATCAGTTTCAAATTTAATGCCTTTATATAAAATGTTGGAGCCCAAACTTTAATGCATTTATAAATAAAGGAAATATAAGATAATAAAGAATCAGTTTGTTTTAATAGAAAAGGAATGCGTCGTCTAAATTTTTAATTTTTTTATTGTGGTTCTCGACGCTGTTTATAAATGTACACTGCTCTTGTTGACGGTGATTGCCATTTTTGCCCATTTAAAAAAAAAAAACCCATTAATGCTGAACTTGATTGACCCGATATATCTGTGAGCCCAGTCTTGAGTGGAAGCTTTAATTTATTGATGACTGTGTTGAAATATAGCTCGATGAGCGGACTCGGGTTTCTGTATCTAAAACGTGGCCGGTCTGCATTTAATCCGTTGCGATGTCTCTCTCGTGGCTCAGGGCTCTGGAGGAAAGACAGAAGCAGCGGGACGTACAGGAGCAGCAGCTGATAGAGAACATCCTGAAGCAACGCAGACAGCGAGTACAGGATGCAACCGAGCGCTTCCAAAGAGCCCATTTACCCCCCTCTCAGAGACGCAGACAATGTTAGTGACCTCTCTAACATGTGCCTCCTAGAACCGAGACGTTATACACACTGACAGTCGTAACACTTTTCACTTTGTTTCTATGCTTTCCTTTGTGGTGTTCTAGCTTTTAGAAGAAACGTCCCAAATATTGAAGATGCGCTCAATCAAATTCGAGGCTCCTCGAGTTCATTCACCCAGCGGTCCTCTTTCTTGTCCGGCAACTTTAACATTAGCAGGTAACAAAAAATAAATCCTGATCCATGTGTCCTACATCTTCATAACTTTTTTTGATTTGATTTGTGTAATAATCTTTTTTTTAATGGCGGCAGCAGTGACACGTGTTCATATTGTTCTGTTTTCTGTTGAAGAAGCTGCACTCCCTCTCCTAAGCCGCCCACAATTTCTAAACCCTCTCACCGCCAGGCGCTCTCTGCTGTGGAGGCCTACACCAAACTGCTCCAGGAGCAGAGCCTGACCTGCTTCAAGAGCAGTCCACAAAGTGAAAAGACACAAGAGAAGCAACACAACAGTCCTCAGGTATGCTGGTTGTTTCATTTCAATGTGCAGGAAACAAAGTGTTATTTCACCCCTGGTTGTTTTTTTAAGGTATTGGAATTTATATTAAAAAAAAGTTATTGATGTCATTTCTTCCCTCCCCTGCTTTGTCTCTAACACACATACCTCACTCTTTTCATATTGTACGTATGAAATGGACATGCACTCAGAGTTTAACTTAACCCTCTTGGCAGCTCACCATAACAAAAAAAGATTTTTCATTTTACCTGATTTAATAAAGTTTAAATTGAACAAATACTGTACGTCAATGGAGCGACCGTTGTCTGCTGCTAAAAGATCTCTTAGAAGAGTCTCTTGCTGTAATCAGACTACAATTCATCAAGACGTCTTTGTTATTGATGATGTTAAACCAGAGCCAACGTAAAATATTACTGGTATGTAAAAACTACACGGACAACAAAATAGATGTAAATGTTGATCAAAATCTTATTCCCTTCTGCTCATAATAAAACAAGTAAACAACTCAAAAGCTGACACTGTCAGGTCCATTCTCCATCCATTGTGTGCGGTCCCTTTAAGAGTTAGGATTTGGGAGTGACGCGGATATGAAAGCTAGTTTATTCGTCTTTCCTTTTCAAGCAGGAAAATTATTTCTCTCTCTTTATTTGAGAAAAGTTCATATTTGTGTTGTCAAATTTCACTATGACCCTCAAATTCTGTCTCTTGTGTTATCATATACTGAATGCAAGTAAAACTACAGAGCAAAATCACACTCTGATTGAACCAATCTATGAACTGTCTGAAACAATGGATATCCACGGCCCCAAATGGGCCCCAAAAAAAATTGCGTCTACCAACGGGGGACTTCGCTCTTGTACACCGTCATCTGCTGGCCCATGATCGTGTCGGCGTCAAAGTTGATGACGCCTTCCCGGACCTGGAGTCGGTCCTCACCTGTCCGAGCGCCGGTAGCTGCTCCGACTGGCTCAGGTCGAGCAGGAAGTCCGGAGATCCCTCCAGCACCGTCGTCTCCCCGTCAGTCAGCACCAGCTTCCTGTCGGTGTCGCAACAGATGTCGAGTACCGGTATCTCCGATGATGGATCGAAGTTGGGACAGGTGGTGTCCATGATCACAGAGGGCTCATTCTCATCCTTGATGAACTTAAACGCTCCGGTGGTCGAGGAGAGGCTTAAACTCCTGCCTGGCAAACTTTCGGATGCGGCCACGTTCGTCCTCTGGACTTTTGCAAAATCCTCCCACAGCACGCCGTCACACTTCATATATTCACCGCCACCGCGGTCGTAAAACTGTTTTACAGCGGGTGAAGCATCGAGCATGGGGCAGTCTTTGAAAACTGTGTCGTCGCTGCTCGAATTCAAACCGCGGAACGGCGCGGAACGCGCCGACGTTTCCAAAATTATGCGCGGTGGAGGACATGCAAGTCGGAGACTGTGGCTCGTTAGATACTTTAGCATTAATGAAGCCGGATCCAATCAAGCCACTTACTCTCGCGTCGGTGGAATCGGCGCTCGAGGTGCTGGTGGTGCTCATCCTTCCGTTTATTTTATTTTCCATTTTCTGAACCGCCAAGTGCGCAGCAGAGATTGGAGTGCGCCTGATGGTTGGACGCTGTGTGATAAACTGCTGCTCAGAGTCTTTCCTGTAATCCTCCTCCCCGTCGACAAAAGGCTGTGACCACGTCTCTCTTTCACATGGGAGCCTGTACCGTCCAGGAAAGCGAAGTTTTTTTAGCCTGCGCGTTTATGGTAAGGGTTTAAAAGTGCGCAATTATGAACACTTTCAAAAAGTAAACGTGGCATGTTTAAGTAAATTACAAGTTGTTCTGATTGTGGGTGTCGTGTTTCAAATCGGAGTGGGTGTTCTTTTCCCTTTTCACAGATTTCCTCAGCCAATCCAATCCTCAGCCAAGATGTCAGGTAAAGAATCAATAAATGCAGAGCCCTCTACAGATGTATGGAGTCACATCAGTCCTACAGTAAAATAGCGAGCCAATGAGGAGAGGAGATCACTTCAATGCCAAGGCCTTTAGTCTCCACCCATACTGTTCATGACTGAGTTACAACATGACGACATTTCTGGCCAAATTACCAAATATTGGAGACTAGTTTGCTTTTGAAAGATGACACCACAATGCTTTCACTAAATTAATAATTATTCCAAAAACGCCTTAGTCATGCTTACCAGCCATGCTGAGGGTCAATACCCAATATTATGTTGTCATTATTAGTATATATATATATATATATATATATATATATATATATATATATTTCCTTCTTATGGATGAGTAATATCTCTTTCAGCCATGAGCATAGGGTTTGTGTGTAACAAAAAAACAGATGGAAGAATCAGAGGACAAAATCCTTTCCATTCCATCTTCAATCTAAGTGGCAGCGAGCTGTTCAATTAGGCCTCAGTTAAGTCAATGGAGAGTAATACGGTCAATGACAATAGGAATTTAATTCTTAAGACCGATCATTCTTAATGTTTCCACTTCAGATATTTTCCATTTGGCACATTTGCACCTTTTTAAAGTTGCTTCTAAAGTTCTCAGTTCAAGAGTTTTTTTTGTTTGTTTTTTTGGTGCACGTGAACAGACTTTGATAAAGTGAAGACTGTACATCTTCTGTATTGTGATCCTCTACATTGGCCCTCTAACTGCCTTTGTACTCATCTCATTTATATTTCTGTTATCTCGGCTGGATAACAGAGACGGCTTTTACTATTGGATTTAATCAGCTGAGTGTGGCTGTTGCTGATTCATGCACCTATGATGCACACATAGGCCTTGGCCCTGATTCCGACCCACGTCACTCATCCCGACAGTATCAGAGGGGATTCTCATGCTGAGGCCTGACATAACTCTGGGATAGCTGTTTCACATTCAAATCTACAAGATGTGTTCTTTAAATGCTGTAATGGCTTCTAATCTGTTAATGTGACGCTCATGGTGACCACCACACTTACATTCTTCTGCAACCACCATCTTCTGGTACGTTTTTAATCACATTTCTATTATTGCAGACACTTAATGGCAAATGCATTGTTGTGGCCCCACAATGTTCATCTTATAGGCAGTATGTGTGGGGTTATTTTTATCAGTGTTGCTGTTGTGCCTTAGTTTTCCTCGGTATAAATGCTTCACAGTATCTGTTCAGGGACTTGAATGTGGTTTTAGCATTTACACTCCTGGCCGGAGCTGTTTGTCTACCTGACCGGTCAGACTGTTCTCAGACATTTGTCTCACTTCACAGGAAGGGAGAGAGCGAGAGAGAGAGAGAGAGAGAGCGAGAGAGAGAGCGAGAGAGCCCGGCACCGTCTGCTGCAATGTTTTTTAAAAACCCATAAAGCTCTGTATTCCATGACGTGAAGATAATCAACACATTTTTATTATATTATGGTTAAGTGATCAATATTCTAATAAAACGCACATTAAAAAAATCTAAAAGTTCATGTCCTGTTTGACAAAATGTAAACCATAGTCCTGTTGATTGATTTTTAAGGTACCGCCTATAACATGAGGGCAGTAATTATCAATAAGCCTTCATTTATTTGTATGTTACGTCTGACTTATGAACCTGACACATCCAAACATATGTTTCTTTTTTATGTGTATTTATTTGAATTGCTTTTCTACTCCAGATGGAAAAGGATGGCCTCAACATCAAACCACATACGCAGCTGGTATCCGGCAGCCCCAACTTATGTTAGCAGTCATTCGTGCATATTTGTGTAGCAAGATTTTTAAAAAATCCATTAGTGCCACTATGTGATTAACTGAACAGACACAGGGACAAAGAGAATTCGATAAGTTCCCTTCTCAAAGGTAGATACATTTACACTTGGGGTGAAAAAAATCAAAGATTTCAACCATTTTCTTATTTGAAATAAAAAATATCCATTTTCATCAGTTGTTTGTGTCCAAAAATATGTCTGTGGCTAATGTCCCTTTGACTGAAATGCCTCATTAATGTGCAGCGTGTCATGTAAATACATCTCTAATCTTTTTTAAACGTTTTTAAGACATAGCCAGCTCATTCTGCTTCTCTTCTCTCTGCCGAACATACATGACTTCTCCCAGTTGGCTGATGAGCTTGGCCAGCATCTCCGTGTCGTGGTTCGCCCTTTCCAGCAGCTCGTAGCGGAGACTGGAGATGTCCTGTTTGATCTCCTTCAGTTCACCTGTTTGACAGTAAGTGTCAACAAAAAAACATGTTTCGTAGTTCTGTGATCCGGACAAGAAGAAGCACTTTATCCAGAAAATCTGTTGAACTCACCTTCATTTATTTCATCATTGTCTCGATCTCTCTGTGCTTTTAGGATGTATCTTTTGATGAGGCGATTCATTATAGTCTGTGATTAGAAACAGAGGATTTCAGTCTTAAATGTAAAAAACAGCTGCCAACTTGTTTAATGAGCATGTTTGATTATTCAATATGTTTTTGACTGATTTTATACAGCAACTCTGTTTTTAGTACCTAAAAGTGTCCTCTAGATATACTCTGTCTAAGACTCAACAGCTCAGTTATTAACAGGTTACTCATCATTAGGGAAACATTGCTTTACTTGGTGACGGGTTGGACAAAGCGATGCTTCCACACTCAGATCTTCCTGTTGCCTCAGCTAACATTGGAAACAACAACAAAAAAACGAAGAAGAAGCACCTTTAAATCATGTTTTCAAGGAACACTCTCACACCTGCAACTTCTAAATGTGACACAAGAGGGCCTTGTAGATCTTTTACCAGACGAATTACATATTACAGCCATTCATTTCCATCCACCAAAAAGGATTTTGGTCTTTTCATTGCTTGAATTATCATCTGTGTCAGGAGCGGATGCCTCACCTTGTTAAGCTCCATCTCATCATTTGAATTATCTTGGCTTTTGCCTTTAGGTACATCCCAGAGACATTCCTTTATCCCCAGCAAGAGGGAAAGGACAGACGTGGGGCTGGGTACCAGGTTGAAGGGGACAGGCAGTGTCCCACCGTGCTCGAAGTACGAGAACCAGAGCTTTGCTCTGGCAAACTTCCACTCAACATCAGAGTCATCCTGCACCCGCAGAGAGGAAACGGCAAGAACGGGGTAAGAGCCAGGGGAAACATTTGTCGAGCAACAGGAAGTTTTGCAGATTGCATTTCTATTGTGCAACATCCATCATCTCATTTACACTTAATCATTAAATGTGCAATACTACTGTGTAAGCCAAATACGGCACGCACACAAAACTGAACTGAAACGTGAAACTTTGGCATAAATCAGCAGTAAATCATAACATCTGTTGACATTTTCTGTCAAATTAAATTCAAATTAGTATGGTCCTACAACAAAATGGTCATTATCATTACGACTAGTGTTCGAGTCACAAAAATGAATACTTATTTATGGATTGTTAAGACGTACCTCTATTTCCTGGAAGGAGCTGTTAAACATGGCAATAAGCATATTGAGCAAGACGATCACCATGATGATGTTGTACACCCCATACAGAACATAGCCTACATTCTCAATGAACTTATGGTCAATGTTAATGACCACTGATTTCACTTCCGACAAGCCGAAGATGGCCCAAAACAACGTTTTAAAACTCTCTTCAAGCCTAGAGGAATAGAGAAAAGGGAATTAAATATGTGTAGTGCAACATTATAATTCGACACAGATTGTATCCAAAGGCAGGATTGTAAAACATTTCGAACATTTTCAAAGCTTTTTTCAGGCAACACTCACGTTGTGAAGGCATCGTTGTGCTTGGCTCCGAGGTAGTACGAGTACAGATTGAACATTCCCACCATGAAAGCCACGAAAACCGTTACGAAAATCACCATGAACTTAAAGATGTCTTTTACTGTTCTTCCCAGAGAGATCTGCAATGGCCCGAAGCTCTCATTGGCGGGCAGGATGTATGCAATGCGGGAGAAACTGAGCACAACTGCGATTGCGTAGAGGCCCTCAGAAATAAGCTGCGGGTCTGAGGGCATCCAGTTGATTCGGGCTGAAAATAGACAGATGCTGAATGTGACAGTTTTCATGCTGTGAACTTTCACTCCATTTAGATCACTACCTGCCTATAGAACTCATACAGGGAGTAACATTTAGGCCATGTCCATACTACTCCGTTTTTGCTACGTTTACACTGAGCGGCCACACTACGCCGGAGTTTTGGAGCACCCTAAACGGAGGAGTCTGAAAACTCCCCCGAGGTTGGAGGTGTTTGAGAACTCCGGGGTTGCGTTTGCGTGTGGACGGTCAGATACGGGTGTGCTTAGAAAAAATTATGCCCACACCCGTGTTCGCTACTGGATTGGTTCTTGGCAACCATGACGTCTCCGTCCCTGATTCGTCACACTCACTATCACGTGACCCGTACCCGGAAGAAAACAAACTGGGCTACCAGCGATTCATTTCAACATGGATAACTAATTGCAAGCGTTGCTGCTAGCACAACAGCTACATGATGTTGCTGCTAGCACAACAGCTAGCAGCAGCTAGCAGCTGTTGTACAGTAAAAGTCTGCATTTCTGTGGAGGAAGCAGCTGTTATTGGAGTGATTAGCGAGCGGCGTGACCAGCATCAGCCCTATCGAGCAGCTCGTTGTTTTTAGATTCTAATGAGAAGACCTCACCATCTCTGACCACCTGGCTATCACCTTGGACATAGACATCCCCACCCCCCATGTTGAGCAGAATCGCACCATAACATTCCGGAACATCAAGTCTATCAACATCTCCTCGCTCTCCTCCACCTTGGCTGCCACCGTCTCCGCATCTGCCCCGATTTCGACTGCCTCCCCCACTGCCCTGGTCAAGTACTATAATGATGCACTCTCCTTCTGTCTTGACATCATCGCCCCCAAAAAATCCAAACTCATCTCCTTCACCCACTCCGCCCCCTGGTACACTGACCGACTTCGCCTCCTCAAAGCGCAGGGCCGTCAACTGGAACGTCTTGCCAAAAAAACTGGACTTACTGTTCGCCTGGATGCCTTCAAACTCCACCAACAACAATATAAAGATGCCCTGAACACTGCTCGCTCCTCTCACTACTCCTCCATCATCCAATCTGGCTCCAACAACCCCAAAACGCTTTTCTCCACCATCAACAAACTCCTCAAGCCCATGGACACCATCTCCACCTCCTTCACCACCAGCAAATGCAACTAATTTCTATCCTTCTTCAACGACAAAATCATTGCAATACACAACCAGCTGGCAACCAACAAATCTGAAATACTCATCATCGGCCCTAACTCCCTCACCCGTTCAGCCCAGCCCTTCTCCCTCAACATTGATGGCTCCATCGTCACCCCCTCCACCCAGGTCCGCAACCTCGGTATCATCCTCGACCCCACCCTCTCTTTTCTACCCCACGCCAACCACATCACCAAAACTGCCTTCTTTCACCTCAGGAACATTGCACGCCTCAGACCCTCCCTGTCCTCTGCCACCACCGAAATTCTCATCCATGCCCTCATAACCTCCAGACTCGACTACTGCAACAGCATCCTCTACGGTTCTCCCAACAAAATCATCAACAAACTCCAATATATTCAGAACTCTGCCGCTCCACTGCTCACTTCCACCCGCCGCTATGATCACATCACCCCGGTCCTTCGCAACCTCCACTGGCTCCCGGTCAAATTCAGAATAGACTTCAAAATACTACTCACCACCTACAAAGCCCTAAACAACCTGGCCCCTCCCTACCTTTCAGACCTCCTCCCCCTCCACACCCCAACCCGTTGCCTCAGGTCCGCCGGTGCAAACACTCTGAAGACCATCAGGACCAAGCGCCGGACCTGGGGTGACAGGGCCTTCTCAGCTGCTGCACCTCCCCTCTGGAACTCCCTCCCCATCCACATCCGTGAGGCTTCCTCCCTATCATCATTCAAACAAGCCCTCAAAACCCACCTCTTCAAACTCGCCTTCACCTGCTAACCCCGGCACTCTACCCTCCATTACATGATCCATTCAGCACAGCTTCTCCAGTTATTCTTTTTTTTGTTTGTTTGTTCTGTTTGTCTCTGCCTTGTAAAGCGTCTTTGAGTATCTAGAAAAGCGCTATAGAAAATTGATTTATTATTATTATTATTAAGACATGCTGCACTAACGTTTTACTTCTTCCGTTTGGTAGCCTTGAGAGACCTTAGTCTATAAGTATGTCTTTATGATGCATGAAAAGATGTACGTAGATATATTCTATTCGCGTGTTTAGTATAACCTTTGTGTTGTATTAAATGCTAATCGCGGTTAGCATTTCTCCATTGGCGGTAATGTTAAAATTAGCTTAGAAGCTAGCTAGGCGGACATGATGTTCAGAGCTACTAGTGAGAACAGACATCAACAACACGGAGGAAACGAGTGAGAGACGTGTGTTGACCACATTGATGGACCCATAATCTAGTAAATGTTTACGTGTAAGTGATTTTAAAGTAAATTTGATGTGAGAGAGAGAGAGAGATAGACCTGCAGCGCTGTAACTACTTCTGAAAAATAAAACTTCTAAAACGTCCACGAACTGTGTCTGTTTTGAGTTTATAGAGGGAGATTTTAGAGGAAGATCTTAAGTATCAAATACAACCTTTCATTATTAAAGACTACTTTATTACTCTGTCGTATTTTTTTTTTAACTAAGCAAGCAATCCACTTCCTGTTTACACCGTCACGCGCATGCCCAGTGTACGTTAATGGTCACGTGCTGTCCGCCTTCGAAGGCTGCCGTGTGGATGCAGATCAACTCGAGAATGATGCTGAAACTCCCGTGTGGACGGAGATCGGTTCTATTTGACAACTCTGCATCCCAGTAAAAACGGAGTAATGTGGACAGGGCCTTAGCCTGGGTGTTTTGATGATGAAGTAGCAGGAAAATCAAGTAGTCGGAAAAGGCTGTGATGATAACATACACAACTTGTTGGACAAATTTATACTATGATTTGTTTGTTCACTGCCTAACATTATGGGGTAGAAATAAAAATCAAAAATGGAAGTCTGAATCAAGAGATCCTCTGAAATAAAATGTTTTATATGTATAAAAAAAACAATCTACTGAAACACTACTACTTATAATAACAGTGTATTCTTTGGTAAACACTTACCCAGCTGGAAGTACTGTATCTCAAAGGGCAAGGTCATGTTGAACAGGTCAGTGTAGTGCTTGTCAACATAACACTGAGCAGAATATGCATGCCAGAAAGCCATTAATCTGGCGATGAAAGAGGTCATAAAAATGGCCAAAATACTAAAGTCAAGAAGGTTCCAGGGTTCTGAGATGTATTCCCGGATGTCATGCGTCCAAATATCTTTACATTCTTCCCAGATCTTCCCTGTAGGATTAAACAAAGACAATCACACATTTGGTCTACGGTCACACTGTGATGTGAACACATATAAACATGATTACATGAATTGCTAGTCAAATCACATAGAATTTACTGACGCTGTACACTGGCAAAGCGAGTGTGATAAATGGCTCCAAAGCCTCGCCTGCAGAGATAAGTTAAAGTGTCACCTTGCCATTTTTTTCGTCTTTGGAACGTCTTTACCGGTCTGATTTATTGTGGCACACGTGGGAGGAATACATAATTATCTATGAGGGGCAATTTCCGTGTATGATAGATGTTTGGAGATTTAGAACGCATCAATGACATGTCATATCCTTGACCCTGCGCATACAGCTGAGTGGTTTAATTGTAAAAGTGTGGGAGTGTCAGAAGGATGGGAGAGGAATAAATTACCATTACGAAAAAGATATAGTAATAGCATAGAAAAGGTTTCAACAGCTAGTAGTTGTGAAAGAGTGGGCATGGGATATGGTGTTTGTGTGTGTGTGGAAGGGGTTTTTATGCTCATGACCTATGACCCAGGATATGATGAGAATCTCCATCCAGGTGAAAGAGGTGGTCTTCGTACGAAACAGTTGTGAGGGGTGGTCGTGGGTGGTCATGTTGGGCAGCAGCGATGTTCCCCCGAAACGATCTGCCGCGTTCAGGACCAGCAGGCAAAGAAACATCATGAAGGAGGCTGCATGGGCCACGAACTTCACGAAAGGTCCACACATGAGTTTCCCCAACTGACGGAGAAGTCAGAGAATGGCAAACAGAACAAACGTGATTTTGAGCTGCACTAAATTATTTTACAGCCTCTGACAGCATATCAGCTTTGCACACAGTAAGAGATTCATTCAAAACTTCAGACCAAAACATGAAACGGTCTTCTATAAAGCAGATGGCAGCTGCATAACCAACAGTATCTAAACCAGTCATCCAAATCATGGCTCTGAGAGAGCTTTCAGACATCACGTTACCGGCTTTGTTAAAACTTAATTCCACAAGCTCCACAACAAGCTGACAGACCCCGAAAACAGCCTCGACATATTATTGCCTTATAAAGTTTTAATGGCTAATGTACCTATTTAAACGTCCAGCAGACATGGAGCAACATTTTTAATTTTAGCTCTGTTAAACGTGTTGAAAGTGTTGAATGAATGCAGAACCAAACTATTAAAGGGAAAATATGGGCCCCTTTATGTGGATTTCCAATTAGTGTTGGTGGTGGATGTAGTCAATTGAAGCAATAAATTCCTCAGTGAGTGCTGTATTGACCGAAACTTAAAAAAATATCAATGTCACATGCATATACATGAATATTGACCTCTGCATTTAACCCATCCTAAGCATTCAGGAGCAGTGGGCTGCTGTGAAGTGCCCGGGGAGCAGCTTGGGGTTGAGTGTCTTGCTCAAGGACACTTTGAAATGTGCACAACAGGAGCCGGGGATCGGATAGATAGACAATCCTGTGGTTAAAGGGAGTGTCAAACAAACACAGGACTTTTAATCAGTAGGCCGGTGTTCATGTCCCAAAGTGTTTGTGACCAGTTTTCTGTACTTAGTTTCTGTACTTTTACATAGCTTACAGTCATGTTAAGCCCAGTCATGATGCTTTTCGTAAACCTAACTAATTGGTTTTGTTGCCAAAACCTAAGCATGTGTTTACTGCGACATGGTGCGCTGCGCTACCGTTTGTTAGAAAGTTACGCCAAAAGGGTCTGGCACAGCGTCAGAATGCTACAGGTTTGATTGAGAACTCGTTGGGCTCCATTACATACGGCTGAATATTTCAGTCAACCAAAACAAAGTAGTTCTGTTTTTGTGCGCCCCCTAGCTGCCAAAATAAATCCGAGCTGCGATGGCAGCCTGCAGCTCTTCCTTCCACCAACTAAGTCCCTGTCACGTCAAATAATGGCGCTGGGTGCAGGAAGTACAAAAGAGTCTGCAGCTGCAAACTTCAATTTCTGACTTAATACTGTATAGCACGCAGTAAGGAATTTACTGCTTCTAATCATTTAACATCTACACTGATTAGACAACCACATTAAAGGCGCAGAATTTTCCCCTTTAAGTTGAAACAATGTCCGGCTTTTTTAAGGAACTTACCTTACTCGATGGGGCTATCCAATATATAAAGGACAGAACAGGCAACCCAGCACCTACACCGAGGACAAGAAGGTTTTTAACTGCTGTGGTTTGCTGACGTAGTCCCGATAAGTTTTCGTACCAGATGGAGAGGAGTTGCTGTTGGCAGTTTGGATGTGCCACGAACTTCCCCGTTGACAGTGTGTGTGTGTGTGAGTATGTGAGAGAGAGATGGAGAACAAGGGAGAAGGATTGTTTAAGGACACAAAAGAAAACACAAGGTTAAATCAATTCTAATCCTTACAAAAAAAATGAAAGTGCTTTTCTCACATGCTTACCTTTTTAACTTCATATTTTATTGCAAGTTTTAACCTGATAAGGTTTTGTCTGCCCAAGGTCTCATGACTGTCCCCATTTAAGATGGCATTCACTTCCTCTGTGTTTCGACACAAATCCAGGACTCCCACCACAAAGTCTTTGCACTGCATGGATAGCTTCTTGTAATCATTCTATAACAGACAAAGGCAACATCTCCTTATTCATATACTTTTATGAATCACCAATAGTACAAAAACAAACCTCAAATCCTCTCACAGCAATCTTTTAATCGACATGATGTACAGCTATGGTCACTGTAATTTGAATATTAAACAAGGTACATTGAACTAAGTACCTTGAACTCCTTCTCAATGTTGGCCAGTACTGCGAGCTCGTTGCTCAGCTCCAGAGCCACCATCACTGGGTCTTCATTGGAGAGGGACAGATATGCCGGGCTGGCCAGACATTTATACGCGTTGATGCGGGATTGCGAAAGGCTGAAGGAGTCGCGCCTCTGCTGCTCGCTGCAGGTCCTGCACTGGCAGAAGTAGTCATGGGGCCGCTCCACGTGGGCCCCCTTCATGAGAAGTATATGCACGATTTCATACTCATGGCACTGGGAGGCCAGGATGATTGGAGTGATGTCTTGGGAGAAACGCGTGCCATCCTCGTCGTAGGCAAAGAAGTCATCGTGTGTGTCCGCCTGGCTGGGTCTGTTGGTCAGCCTCTCTCCGTCTGCAAAGGCCTGGTGGCTCAGTATGGCGTCCACTATACGGATGTAGCCTTTACTGATGGCTAACAGCAAGGCATCTCCTATTCTAGAGAGGTCCTTCTTCCTAAGTAGGAGCTTAGTCACCTCTAAATGCTCATTGGCAACCGCCAGCTGCAGTGCATTCTGGCCCATGTAGTTCACGCAGTTGACATCGAGCTCCGGCAGCTCCTCGAGCATTCGCCTCACTTCAGGAGCGTTGCCGTATTCGGCGGCGTCTAAGAAAAGTTCCTCCGTCGTGGAAAGGCAGGAGGAGGATTGAGCGTGATACAGGTAACCGGCTCCCCGAAAGACTTGTCGCCGGGGTTTGGCCCCAAGTTGCCGCAGCATCATGACTCTCCCTTCATTCCTCCACCCAAACACAGGTTAACATACGGCTGAAGACTTTATCTTTGTAAATGTATTCATGTATGCCAAAATACTCAAATGTCACTCTCAAATCCTATTCACACAAATTTCTGGATAAGTAAGATTTACTATTATGTTTTTACTAAGCCAGTGGTCACCAACCTTTTTAAGCCCAAGATCCCTGACCTCTGCCTTGGTGACAGGCAAGATCTACCTATTGAGGCGTTGTGAGAAAAAGACTGTCCAGACTGTACTTACAACGTGAGGCTTTTTATTTGGCCTAATTGTAATTGAATGAAATCAAACACTTTGGTCCAGCTTTCAAATTGATGTGACCAAGAACACACTAAATGACTTAATTTCAGTGCAACATAAAAAGGAAATTATTTGTTAACCGCACACAATATGAACAAGAAAAAACACATTTGCAATGAGCAGGCTGGATGAACTACCAATATTAACTGTTGTATTTATCAACTGAAGTTACAACACAACACTGACAAAATTCTCAGTCAGTGCAACTAATGTAAGTAAGGACACATCTACATTCTGCAACAGTATCTGCACCTCTGCACCGGTGAAGTTATAGTCTCAGTTTACTCGACCGGTGCTCGCTTTCCGCTTTGACATGATCTTAATCAGTGTGAAGTTGCTTTCGCGTTGCCTGTGGAGTCTGTCGATTGTGCACACGTCTCTTCAGTTGCATGCCCGATCGCGATCGACGGGTTGGCGACCACTGTACTAAGCAGACATAACTTTAAAGGGGACATAATGCTTATTTTCTGGTTCAATATTGTCTTTCGGTTTTCTGCTAGAACATGTTTGCATGCTTTTATGTTAAAAATATATATATATTTTTCTCATACTGTCTATCTGAATATACCTGTATACACCAGCTGGCTGAAATGCTCCGTTTCAGCCCCTGTCTCTTTAAGCCCCCCTCCCAAAAAGCCCAATCTGCTCTGATTGGCTTGTGAGAAAAATATGGCTCACATTGGTTAAACTGCTTTGTTGGGAATGCAGTCAAACCTCTTGGCTGTACTTGAGAGAGTATTCTGTCATCACACAAGTACTGTGTGAACGTAAAACTGCGTCTTGAATGCAAACTGTGTGCAATTCACGTCCAGTGGCCAGAGACGGACGTTGTAAGAATTCAGGGCTCACACCAAACTTCATGCCCCAACCTTGGAGAGATGGATTCCCATTCACAGCAGCTATATGCACGATTTAAAAAACATTTTGAAATGATAGAATGCCCTAAAAATCTGCACATCATTTGGGAAAATCATGATGAGCCTCTTTTTTCAAACGCAGGAACCTTCCTCAGGGACTAGGAACCTTTTGTGGAACTCATTGCATCTCGCCCTCAGGGACCAGAGTCCAAATTAAGGCCGATGCTTCAAGTCGTGTACCACTTAATTAATAAAACAGTACTCTAGTATCGATTTAGGACCATGTTAAGATGAGGGAAGAACATCTTTCTTTGTTTGATAACATTAAAAGTAAAGTTAGGCGAATGCAGACAACAATGGGCTGAAGGAAGCTTTTAGTTCCTTTAAAAAGTATGGTCGGCATTTTTTAAAACTTCCATAGAGCTCCTGTAATCAGTTAAATTGATAAAACAAGCTAGTAACCTCCTGACTCTAGCTTAATACTTATGACACGAACATGAAAGTGGTGAGTATTCCTTTAACTCCATTTACTAATGTAAAAGTGGACTACAGTGGGTAGGAAATGCAGTGAGAATCCCACCCAGGCACAAGACCAGGAAAGATGTTGCTAAATAACCATGGACCACGAGCATCGTCCCGTCACTTCATGTCACAAGGTTCAGTACTTTCCACAAACCATTCAACAACTCCAGATCTCTGCTGTTACAGTATGTGGTAAAGACAGTACCACATGTAGTACATGTGCAGTTCCTCCCTGTTTAATTTCCTACGTGGCTGCTTCACGATTCATTGAGTAGTTTATGTAGAGATTAGGCAAAGGATGCTCCATTTTCAAACATCCGCTCCTCTTAGACCTTTCCCCCAAAGCTTGCCTGTAGTACCAAGTGCCGAGGGGAAGTGGAGGAGACAGAAGGTTACATTCTCCCACTATATACGACCACCTGTTATCATGTGACCCACATGTCATATGTCACTGAGCAAACTTAATTTGCTGATTACGACAGTGAGATGCGGTTTAATGCCCGGGAGAAAGCCAGTAAAGCTACCTTGAGCTATAATTGTTTTTGTTAAGATGTTTTTGTTAAAAATGAACCTTCACGCTCAGTTTATTAAAAGCTTGTTATGATGGCAGTGTGACCTCAGAGCAGAAGTCAACTTTACCTGGAGCCTTGAGATGAAAGATGACCATCCGTAGGATGATAAATTATCTCGACCCCCTCATGACCTCCCTGTGACCTGAAGTCATTGCCATTCTCTTCTCTGCTACATTATGCCTGCTACAGAATGGCTTTCTGTCACTCTGCTTGATGTGATGTATTTCTCCAACAGTATGATAAAGCTTCCAAGACGAGTGATTTACCCCAAAACGTTGTGTAATCATTATTTATTCTCATTGTTCTCGATTTGTCTAATCACCTTAATTGCTGAAATACTATTTTAGAGAGCAGATAATCACAACCATAATAACTGTCTGCTAATCCTTCTCCAAGGCTACTGAAGAAATTAATTTTATTTATTTATTTTTTATTTGTATCTCAATTAATTAGTGAACAGAGTGAGAGACGTGTGTTGACCAAATTTATTGACCCATAATAATCGAGTAAACTTTGATTTGTAAGTGTTCATTTTGAAGCAAATTTGATATGTGTGTGTGTGTGTGTGTGAGAGAGAGAGAGAGAGAGAGAGAGATGGCCTGCAGCGTTGTAATTAAGTTTGAAAAGTAAAACTTTGTCTTTTTGAGTGTATAGAGGAAGATTATAGAGGAAGACAAACAATACAATATATTTTCTGTAACTAAGCAACCCTTTTTGGAATTCTATTTTGCAGGTTTTTTAGTGTGGAGAAGTCATGTGACCAAGTGTAGTCATGTGACCACAATTCGGAACATTGTAGTCATTGACATTCTATCGCCTTTGATGATGTCACGGAATGTTTGTCAGAATGAATCGCCATGGTGATGTCACGGAATGTTTGTATTGTATAGGTAGGGAGCTGAAATCCTCTGGGGAACTTAGTTATCATCTGACATCCATCCAGAGAGACCTCTTGTGCGAACAGAGCGACAACTTCTCAAACCACAACACACAACTTAGTTATCATCTGACATCCATCCAGAGAGACTTCTTGTGCGAACAGAGCGACAACTTCTCAAACCACAACACAACTAGTACACGCAAGTACTCAAACAACAATAGAGCATTACCATTGTATAATAATGCAGGACCTGAGAACAGCTCAAATGGACTCTCAAAAACCAATCAACCAGTTGGCGTCAGAAATTGCTGCATTGAAGGAGCAGATGGCAGCCAAAGAGCTCAGTTGGGAGCAGGAGAAACAAAAGATGATGAAGGCTCTCAGGGCAGAGAGAGAGCGTAGGAAGATAGCACAGGCGGGCAACAAAACCAAAGAGATGGTGGAAGTGATCAGCTCTCCGAGTCAAAGTCCAACCCAGGACAGCCCAGCTGAAGAGGTGCAGGTCAAAGAACACCAGCAAACTCTCAGCAGACAGCTGCAGGACCTGACAACAGTCCAACTGGACTCTCAAAAACCAGACAACCAGCTGGTGTCAGAAATTGCTGCCTTGAAGGAGCTGATGGCCGCCAAAGAGCTCGGTTGGGAGCAGGAGAGACAAAAAATTATGAAGGCTCTCAGGGCAGAGAGAGTGCGTAGGAAGATAGCACAGGCGAACAAGAACACCAGAGAGAAGGAGATGGTGGAAGTGATCAGCTCTCCAAGTCAAAGTCCAAACCAGGACAGCCCAGCTGAAGACGTGCAGGCGGACAAGAACGTCACAGAGAAGGACAAAATCATCTATTCTCTTTGTCAAAGTCTGCTTAAAAAGCAGAATGAGATCCAGTTGGTCAACAGCCAGTGGAGCGCCAAGTTCAACCAGGTTGTTGAGTCCTCGACAGAGGTGAACAACACGTTCAGAAAGAACTGTGTGACGAAGGCACATCATGTAATATTTGGCTTGAACAAAAATAATGTGATGGACTTGGATGCAAAGCTGCTTGTAAGAGAGAAGGAGCATGTCACTGCGCTCAAAACCCAGGAAGAGAACTGTGACAAGAAGGTGAGGCAGACCGTCCTGGACCTGGAGAGCTACGCTACGCAGAAAGACAGCGAGCTCATCCGGAGCGAGGTGGAGTGGAAAATAAAACTCACGGCTCTGGAAGATCAGATGAGATGCGAGCTTGCTGCAAAGGAGGAGAGCTTCCAGAGAAAGCAGGAGCTGCAGAGACAGAGCAGAGAGATGGAGGAGGAGTGGCGCAACCAAAAGGAGGAAGAGATCAAGCTCCTGACACAGCAAAACGCTGACCTCCAGGTACATAACCTCAGCCTTCAAGAGCTCGCCCAACAAACTGACAAGGAGAAGGCGCAGTTCAAGAAGGAGGAGAAGAAGGCCAGGAAGGAGGCGGAAAAGATCCTGAAGAAGGACAGGAAGGAGGAGGAAGAGAGGGAGAAGAAGGATAAGAACGAGAACAAGAAGAGAGAAAAGGAGGAATTGAAAAGACAGAAGAAGGAGAGGAAAGAAAATGAGGAAAGAGAAAAGGAGGAAGTGAAAAGACAGAAG